TTTCTTTACTGTGCATGTGGTGGAGAGCACAGGCTACCTCCACCCTGTACTGCCAGTGTCTGGGCTGAGTAGAGTGCTGTCCTGGGATCCAGCTGTGAACAAAATGGTCAGGGACCTGCTGTCCTTGGGCTTTGAGTGGGTGTGTGAAATGAGCAGATCTGAGACAACTGATACAGATCTTCATTCCTTCTCCCTGACCCTTTCTTTTCAAAGAGCTATGTGCACCCTTGAGCAGCATAGGCAGGCCTATCAGCTTTTGTGATCACCCAGTCACTGGACAGGGACCAAGGGGAGCCCTCCATGCAGAGATGAGTACCTCAAGTCATTCCAGCAATGGAGTACATTATAACAGGCTCACTTCTGTCACAGAAAAGAATTCTTCAAAGTTCATCAGTGAGAAGCATGTAGACATTTATTAGGCATAAAGGATCATTCATTCATAGTGGGGTATGGGAGCTTATAGAATGAGAAGCATTGTCTGGATTGTGGAGTTTCTACGTAGTCTTGGGGTTGTCTTCAAGATGGGTGATCTAGGATGATTATACCTGTTCCATGGGCTAGGTTAGAATGCAAAGAGTTCACTTGTGCGTTAAGTTTAGAGATATGCAGTCCATTTATAATCAGCTCCTTCCCAGTCCAGGAATTTCCCCTCCCCAACCAGTGCAAATGGAACCTGATAGGAGAAACAGGGCGACCCAGAAACAGTGTGCTACAGGACTTCAGAAAGGTAGGGGTCCCAGGTGGAACCTGTGCTGTATGGACAGAAGGGTAAATTGATCAATCCTGAGATACCAAGTAATCTGACCAAGATTAAATCAGACCACACCACCAAGCAGAAATTGAGTGCCATGAGAATCTACTCCTAGGGGCCCTAGGGATGTGGGTGTGGACTGCCATGGGAGAGGCTCATGGTAGCTCCAACCTGGATAAGTCAGATGAAACCTCAAACCCCAAGTGGAGCACAGGAGTGACTTGCAAGGGAGAATAGCTTTCAGGTGACTCTCAAACAGCTCGAAGAACAGGTCCAAGAAGAGTGTTAAATGCAAATGGGGTGTACTTGGTAATCAGACTCAGGGGAGTCTGATAAAACCTGTACTCAGGTTAAAAAAACTGGGACTAAAAAAATGCATGAGTCCATATAAATAAATAAATAAAATAAAAACAGCTGGGAAAATGCTGGAGCATGCAAAGTGAAACAGTGACAGGCAAGCTAGGCCAATACATGGAAAAACAAAGTGGACTGGGGGCTGGGCCATGGTGAGTGATCAAAGCAGTGCACTGGGAGTGCTGGATACCCAAGCACAGGTACTACACACTATGTTAGAGCCCTGATGTTGGCAATTGCAACCTGCATGCTCCAAGGGGAAAAACAAAGAAACATGGGCCAGTCCCAATATCTCTTCTCTGCTTCAGGAGTCCCAAGGTCAAAATAGCCCCACCCTGGGGCTAAATGGCCAAAGTAAAAACAAGCTACAACCATGCATAAGGAGGTTTTACAGGAAAAATCAAAGTACAGATTTTAGCTTAAAAAATATTGATAAATGTACTTTTGGTTTTCAACTTGAGTTGTTTTTTTTCTTTAATTGGTGTGCTTAAAACCTTTCTTGTACATTGCAAATTCTTGAATTGTAATTACAGAGTTAACTTGTTTT